ATGCTTTTAACAATCTATTCCTGAGTGATTAACAAATATAATCCCACTGGGCTAGGGAACTAGTGTCACAAAAAGTACATTCAGAGTATCCAATATGACATCTAAAAGTACCTACTACGGCATTAAGCTCAGAAAGGCAATGAGCAGAGACTGCATTTTAAATGGAATCAAAGGCTGCCAAACCCTAGTGCTCCCAATCACGCACCACTCCCCTGGATACAGATACCAAAGTAGAGTCTGACTCAGGTGCTATTTTTAGCTGTTTGGATTCAGCTCTGAATGGGCATCTGTAAGCAAAACAAAAATCACGCACTTCAAAGAAATTATTTTAAATTAAGTTTGACCGTTGTGATGATAGATTTGTCCATCTGCACAAACAGCAAGGTATTCAGCCCCAAGAAGCAATAACCTACATAACACAAGAATGACCCTTCCGGATCAGCCCATCCAGCCCAGACTGGCCATAAGTAGGTAACCAGGGAAGACTAAGACCATAGCTAACGTATGTTACACCCCTCAATACTCTCCCAGGCCCTAACCATTTTCAGCTATAGGGATGTCTTAGGCCAAATGGAGTTTCTGTGCATTTAAACTTCTCAGGGATTTCTCTCCGTTATCTTATTCAGGTAAACTTTAAGAATCAGTAACATTCATTGTCAAGGAGATTCCAACCACTGTGAAAACAAATATCCCCTTTGCTCGGCTACTTCATTTGATGCACTCTAGCTTTTGTATAGAAGATTTTGTCAGCGTCTACAATGCCATTCACAATTTCATAGACTTCTATCATATGCTTCCACGTTGTCTCTTTCCACGCTAAAGAACCCTAACCTACTCGGTCATTCCCCATAAAAAGTTACTCCATTGATCTCCTTTGCTGCCTTCCTCCAGATCTTAAGTAAGACTTTTTGCTTTTGCATCATATACCTTTTTATTTCCTTTTCAGTACCTTAAAGCTTTCCTCCCAAGCTATATCACCAGTAGCTTCCCAAATCTTTTGGAAATGCCTCTAGTATCCAAAAATGTCCCCTCAAGATACATAAGGAAGGGTTTCTATTAATACAACCATCTTTCCAAAGCAGGATAACCTTATATTCCAAGAAGCACGATCTTTTTAGTTTATGCTTTTCTGATTTACTCCACGCTCAAAAAGGCTGATGCCAACCTACACGGTGTCCCAGGAAGCCAAAGAAAGTTCACTGCTCCCTAAGACGACAGGGGATGATGTAGTTCTGTCAAGAACCAAACTACAACACTGATGTTGAACAGAAGCTTGCTGCACAAGCAATTCATTTAAACTCAATGAGATTTTATCTCTGTCATACTGCAGAGTACTGCAATATGACCTTAAGCAATTACAGTGTACAACTGATGAGTCAATGTACGCAATGTTAGTTTTCAAATGTGTTATTGAATGTGTTGCTATAGCTGGTAAACAAGACAGACAGGCCCAAAGAGGTTTAAAAGTGGTTCATGATCAGCAGTACATATCAAACAGAACAGGATATATAGTCTTCCCTTAATTGAGACAAAACTAAAACCAAAGTATTTTATGAAGACTTGCCATCTAGGAAGTAGCACATTTATGAGGAAAACCTCCTCTTATGAACACGAAGCAAATCTTCAAGGCTTGTGGAGGGACTTGGTAAGATCTCCCTTCACCATTAGCTCTGTCCTCAACCTTTCCCCGTCTCCCTCACTCAGCTGCAGCCTGGTGCTGCCTACAAGCTGAGCCTTCTGACAGTCATTCACTTTATATCAGTCTGTGTCTATCTTAAAAAAAAAAAAAAAAAGATATATATGGATAAAAGAGCATGCTATCAATTCTAATAGAGGGTAGACTCTACTGAACTTTCAGCTGCCAATAAAGTCATCTGCAGCAGGGCACCTGTGTGGAAGACCATGTTTTCCTGTGAAGGGAGAAATGGCTCCAGAATTCCACGTGCATTATTAACACAGTCCATAATAATGATTCAAGGGAGGACTGTGGAATGCTTACTATGCTAAATTTCATACAATATAATCTTCTTATAAATTTCCTTGGCACTACAAGACAGATTTGCCAATGCACAGACTAGTTCTATTGCCTAGGACTGCTACACAGGGAATTACAATCTGAAAGGATAAATAGTTCACTAATAGTCTGCAACAACACACAGCTATTACTCCGCCATTTCTTTGAATTCTTACTAAGTATGAAACAATATACATTGAGAAAAGAGCAGTGGGGCAGAATTTTTCCATTTAATTGCATTGCCTGCTGTACCAGTTTGACAAATAAAAGACTAACAAATCTAAGTAATTACAACATATGGGATTACAAATGTCTAACTGGCTTCTAATATAACTTAGGTTCAAAAAAAGGGGGGATTAGCTAACTGAAGTTAGAAAGCCCGCATTCTCAGCTGAGTAAGTTAATACAAGAAAGAAATTCTGCTTCTTTTCAGCAGCAGAATACAGAAGTACCAAATATTGGAACATTTCTCGTTTACCTCTCCAAATGGCTGCTCTCTCAAAACAAGCCACCAGACAAGTCTGTGATGATACAAAACAAAAAAACCCAAAAGACAGTAGTTAGATATCTAATAAAAGTGTTGTTTGAATTTCCGAATGAATATTCACTAGAATTTTGTAGATGTTGATAAATCCTTCTTCATTAGGTATTACCAAGAAAAAAATCCTGAGAATTCTGTTAAACGCAAATGGTTTTCCGAGATGTCAATCTTTAAAAATATTTTGCACTTTCTCATTTGATTGACTGCATTTCTTATCTTTCTTCCCAGCTCTTTCTTCCCTCTTTTCTCCTCTTTAAAAAGGACAGAAGGTGCAAGAAAAAAAACTGTCAGTCCAAACAATTTCTTCAGCAGAAACAGTACTATTGCTTCTGCAGAAAACAGTATTACGAGGCTGGAACCAAGAAAAACAACTTACACAGCTGCTGCTGACACAAGGTGGTCAGTTCTCTAATTTGTCCCATAGACAAGTTATGACAACACCAAAAATAGAAGATGCAGTTTGTGTTTTCTGTTCTTAGGTTCTTTTTCCCCTTGTGTATTTGTCTGTTTTAGCTTTACAGGTAGATGTATCTGAATTTAACAAGACTAATAAAGAAGTTTCAGAGCAACCGAATTAATGTAAATGTTGACCATTTCAATTAACTTCCCCCCAAAAGGGGACTTGCTGTGTTCTTTAATCTCTTCTAGTATGATTGTCCTATGAAAATTATTTAAGCTAAAGGGAAAATATATAGTTCATAGGAAAAAAGATTTGCTGAATAATTCCCATTTTATATTCTTTAATTCTTTTTATTTTCTGTCTCTACAAGAACAAACATATGTTAGTGCTGTATTTGCCATGAGAGAAGCGGAATGTGATTTCTAGCTCTGAAAACCTGAAGCTTGTTTTAATCATTCAATGCGGCGCATTAACAAGGATATGAACCCAGCAGTTGCTGGTTGAGCTAGACATCCAATACTTTTTCTGAACCGCGAAACACATAAGTGATGAAGAATCAACCACATTACTAATTAAGTTGCTCTAATAATTATTCTTCCACTACCATTTTTGCTTGCCTTATTTGTAGCCTCAACTTGTCTTGTTTCAGTTTTCATCTAGTTTCAGTTCTCATTTCTAAGGACTGTTTCTAGTACCTATTTCTAATGACTTGCCTAAGTGGTAAAGGACAGTGCACAACAGGATCTTTTCTCTCCACATACTTGCAGGCTGCAATCAAGCAAAATCTTAACCTGGTCTCTGCAAAATCTTCCATATCTCTTGGAAGATCACATTTTCCACATCTCACATCCTCCCTGCAGCTCTTCTCTGAATGCTTTCCAAAATATCAACAGGATCTTTAAATTCTAGACATCATAACTAACTATAGAATTTTATTACTGGCCTCACTAAAGCTGTTTATGGAAGAAGTGGCAACTCCCACAGCTACTCAATAGTCCCTGCATATGAATACAAGGATCACATTTTCTCCATTTGCTACCACATCACACCGCTAGATCTTATTCAGTGTCTTATCTTCCACACTACAAGTCATTTTTGAGTAAACTCCTTACAAAACACAATGCATCCCTCTGTAAACAACATTACATATAATTGGTTCTTAGCCATATAGCATGCATTTAGCTTTATTAAACTATGGTGATGAAAATGGGGGGGGAGGGGAAGGAGGAAGAGAGGGAACCACTTAATTTTCATATTTCAGATTTGCAGAACAGAAGGTTTCAAGGGATGGAGGAGATTGTTTAATGATGTTTTAACTTATGAACTGAATAAGCAAATATTGGGAGTCAGAGGCACAAAGAACATCTAGGAATACTACATAAATATCAGCTATTCTCAGGCCCAGAATACAGGCAAAACATTTGATCCTGCCTCTAATTTTTTCTTGTAACATAGTATATTGGTTCCTTTTGATCTTTTATTATTTTTACAAGAGTGTAGGATACGGGGAAGCTTTCTGTGGTCTGAGACGGGTAATGGAATCAGGGAGGTCAAATTCTATGACCCAAATTATCTTTTCTCTTTTAATAACCCTAAAATTTGCTGCTTTTATAAGGGCACTTTTCAGAGTAGAATCATACTTTAGCAGGTAACTAAAACTCACTGAAATGACTGGAAGGGCTTCCACTATCTACAACAGACCAGGAAGAAACCAGTCATATTTCTAAAAACAACGTGCTGTTATGCTGCCACGCCTGAGCTGCTGTTACATACCTTCTTTACAGTGGATGCAATATATTCTCCAGGACATTAGAACTACTTCCTTAACGGAATGGTTTTGTATAAAATAAGTAAATGATAGTTTCTGAAAAAATTTATTACTCTGATTTTAAATTGTCTTTTTTCTATGTAGATCAATTACCTCCCTGCCTATTTGCAGAGCCTCCACAAATGAAGCCTCTTAACTGCTCAAAGAAATTCAGCACCAGAACAGTCAAACACCTCAGATACTGATAACACATGCTAGAACATTTACCAACACTTACTTTGCCAGGCTTGTTTGCATCAAAGCTGTTTTCTTTAAACTTCTCCTGCAGGGTCTCAGCTAACCGACAAAGCAAGGCACCATTATCCAATTTCTCCATAAATGTTTCTGCTGTTATTTCTCTACCTGAACAGCAAACAGAAAATTAGCATGGCAAGAAGTGTCGAACAGTGTAGGTTGCATTTGTAAAGAAAAAGAACATGAATCAAATGCACTGAAATCAACAGAAATCTTTATAACGATTTGAAACATGCCTTAGTTGAAAAACTTATACTACTTAGTTTAGTGAATGATCTTACTACTATTTTACTGGCACAGGTACAACAAACTGTCCAAAGAAATAGGCTTTCTCTGGGAGGGTATGTGTTATGCGAAAAACAATTCGAACATATCAGAATCTGCACATCTCATTTTACTTGTGTAATTCCAGTGTTTTTATCGTACCATTTTAAAGGACAGAGTGCATCAGGCAAATGGTGCCACACACTAGTGTGGGGGGGGGTATTATAGCTAAATATCACTAACACTTTCACTGAAGCTTATTTCCTAACAGAAGTAGCCAACCATGTCTAGAAAGAAAAGAGATATTTCTTTAGCATTACTTTAAGACTTGATCCTACAAGAAGTTGACAAAATACTGAAGTGACTGCTACGCTCCTACAAAAGAGCTTTTCAGAAGAAAAAGTTAGATTCTTTAAAAAAAACAAACAAACCAACCAACCCACCCACCCACCCACACACGGTAAGTGTCTACTTGCCATACAAATTAAAACTTTCACCCAAAGAACAAAATCAAAATATTCTGATTTGGCAATATATCATTGTGCCTCAATACTGCAGTTCAGCTGCTGCGTACGCTCTTCTTTTGCTACTGCTGGCCTCCCCGACCAAACTGTCCACCATGACACTGTAATTACATTTTCCTAGAGGAGAGATCACAAAAGGCCTGTTATGAGATATGCAGTCTGACCAGGCTAAATGAGAAGGGAATCATCTACCACCAAACTAAACCTGGAGCATTATGACAGCATTTCCAAATTAAAGAAAAAAAAAAATCTATTTCGTGAAGCTTTTCTGTTTTCACATGCCTACTGGAAAATTTATCTTCTCTTTAGGCACTTTTTTGAGCAGCAGCTGTATTTTTCCAACGTTCTTAATGTCTACCAACGTCAAGAGAGCATCAAGGACTAATTCTTGCTCTTCTTATTAAGACAGGACCTTTTACCCCCTCCAGAATATTTACATATGTCATTTGGGAACTGGAATAACAATATGAGCTCAGTTTTCATAGGCTGTTGGACAGCAATCATAAGGTAACAGTTTTCTATACTGCCAAAAAAAAGAAAAAAACTTCAACGAGAATGATTCCCTCTCCCATTCCTACACCCATTCCTCCCAAAACTGAGTTCTTTACAAGAACTAGAACAATAGGTTGAAGTTTGTCCACTGCTGGTTGATCTTTTTTTTTTTTTTTTTTTTTTTGGCCCCAGACAGGAGCTTTTTAGTAAAGCAACCTTCCAGAAAGATTTTAGGAGCTTATGTTCAATAAGAGATCTGGAAACAGAGAACACTAATCTTGTTAGAAGAGGCTCACAATATTTTTGTCAAAAAAAACAGACAAAACAGGAAAACTATGGCTCTCGTATACTTTTCCATTCAAAAAGCAAAAAAAAAAAAATACAAAAAACAAGAAAAATGAAGAAGATAGTAAAAAGTGAACATTAAACCTCTGTAATATATTATTTGGTACCTTGTAATCTGATGATCAATGTCACTTGTAACACTGAAAACAGCAGTGTTTTCCAAAAGCAATATAATAAAAAAAAAGCTAAAGGAAAGTTGTCTAGGCCCTTGTTTGAAAATTGCTAGATATCAACATCAATGTAAAATCCTTTGGGCAAAAATTTGCCAGTCATTTTAGTCTAGTCAGTTAAGCACAACAATTAAGGTAATAACATCTTTGCAGCAAATCATCTTCAGATGCAATAGCAGACTTACATTTCTGGTTGAAGTTAAACCTGATTTTTCTAATACATTTCACATCAAACAGATGTTTCTGAAGTAGAAGTTATTTTTTCCCCTTTTTTCCCTCCCAGTTTCTTCTTTTTTGCCTCTCTTCTCTCTGCCATACAGCCCACGCTGTAGTCCCCAGATACATAATGACTTGTGCAGGCAGCAGCAGAACAGTAGCAGCACTGCAAACATTCATCACAATGGTAGCATATGCATAACCGGCATTATTTTTGCAGTGCCTCCAATTCAGCTAAGGCCAGGATTGAAACTATAATAGCTCCCAGATACAAAAATGCAACATCTCGGCACCTCAAATGCTTTTATCACCATTCTAGCCTGCCTATTTCTCATTATTAATAATAAAATATTTTCTGTTTTGCCTCATCAGCATTTTTGGCAAAAGGTATAAAGCCAGAAAGCTAAATATGTAAAATGACTATATTCTAGAGACTGCTCTATTTTTAATACAATGTTGTATTTTATTAGAGATGCATTTTCTTTTTAAAAAATAAATGTATTTCAGATATTTTTACCCTACAGGGTAGGGCTGTTGTTGTTTTGGAAAGCAGAAGGATACACACAAAGTTCCCCGCTGGCAAAAGAATCACACTCTACATATCTACTCTGCCCTATGACTTATAGATCTGTTATTTTCCTGGTCAAGTCTTAAAAAACCCAAAAACCTATTTAAAGGTATTTACTCTTTAAACAGACAGGAAAAAATATTCTCTCTCTGCTGCTATTTAACAATACATTTACATTATTTTTAATGCTGAATTGCATTAGTGGTTTGGTCACTACATAATGTACATTAAGCTAGAGTATTTCAGTTCTGCTCTCCTTTTATGAAAGCTGAAAAAATGAGTTTCGCATCGAACATCTGTATCCAATGAAAAATATATTAGGTGTCAGCTTTCAATTCACTGTATTTTATGGCTCCAAAAGGTGGCATTTCTTTGCTAAAACAGACACTGACATATTTAACAGTTGAAATGTATTGATTCAAATGAGAGTAATGCTCATAGCCTGAGGAAAAAAAAAGGCTCTGTATATTTGTATGGAAAAAACATTAAACGCCATTAAAAATGTATAACTCCCCCTGTAATTACAAGAAAACAGTTGCAATGTTTTTATAGAATGGTAATAACATACATAATAAAAAGCAACACTAAATGTATGAAAAAACAGGAATATAAAGGCTTTCCCCAACCTTGCAAACATTGCTTACCCTTTCTTTTAGTACAACAATCAGATGCCCCTTAAAAAGAGGCATCTTTATGCCTAGATGCCTATTATTTTGCAGCTGTGGGCAGCTGTCTATAAGGCCACCTAGTCCTGGGGGCCCTATTGCAGGCAGACTGGGAGGTCTGAAGGAATGACAAAATGAATGTGGAGGGATCCAAAAGCTAAAATAAAGTACCAAAATCTAGCTGATTCTTTTATTACTGCAGTGTTTAGCCATTACAATACAAGACCCCGACTCCAGCCTCATAACTAGCTGATCAACTCTAATAATTGTATTTTTCCATGAGAGCATAAAACTAACAGTTTACAATTGGAAACATTTCACTCAGGCAAAACTGAAACACATCAGGAGGAGGATGGGCTTCTACTATACTGAGTCATCAGTGGAAGTATTCCTCCCCACCCTCCAAAAAAAGCATGGCATTTAAACCCCAGATAACACATAACAAAAATAAAGAAAACAAAGGGCATTGATTTTACACACACACAAAACTGGATCTGTTTTGACAAAAAGGCTATTGTGTATGCTAGACTAGCTAACAGCAAGAGAAATGATTTTGGTCTTATTGAAACAACATCATTCACTTGAAACGGAACAAAAAAGCAATCCCAAAGGCATATTGATACTAAAGAAAATTATACAGCCTCTTAACTAAATGAGAAGCTGCACCAAAATCAGCAGAATCACTAGAAGTTTCATCAATGTCGTGATATTCAGAAATATTTAAAGTGTTTATTTCCCACTGGCTTGAGCTGAACATAGTAATGCTGAAAATTCAAGTCCCATTACAGAATCCTCTGAGGCAGCAATATCAGCAAGATTACTGAGCTGAAGCAGGTTTTGCTTTTATTCAAAATGTAAGAAACAGTTTTCTTTCAGAAGACTTCCCATCCTTCATCCCCCAAACTTTACACCTTTCCTAACATTCTCACCTCTCTGTTCCTTTTCTTCAAGCATATTTCACTTCTGCACCCAAGTAGTTAATCTTTACATGCCTCAAAGGTCTACAGCATCCTGCAGTCTCCAACTTGTTTCACACGACACCCCAGCAGCTCTGTTAGAAAGAGGCTGCAGTACTGAAATCTTGGGAGCCCAGACATGTTCCCACAGCTAGGACACATCTCAGACAGGTCTATTCCACGGTCCCATGTGTTAAATGAAGCTGGATGGAGTAGGCTGCAATGAGATAACCTGCATCTGGTACAGTCTCTAGAGTGGCAAAAATTCAGAGCTATATACAACAGCCAATGGGGAAACAATGCCTCTTTTTACTCTTGAAATCACACATCCTAAGTGACAAACTGGTGATAAGGCCCACTCCTCCTGATATCAACCCTTTCCAATCTCCAGACAGAAAATGAGCGCGTACTGGAGAGTGCAGCAAACAGCAAAGCCCACTTGCTCTCAAATTGCCATTTTGCCTTCTCTAGAAGTACAGCCAACAGTGATAATTCCCATGTGAAGTTTGCTCATAGTGGAACAGAAGTTTTCATGACCATAAAGAGGATTCTACTAAACTGAGTATATACATAATTTACGAAGTAAGCTGTTTTCACTGCTGACGCACTCCAGTGCTTCATTAGCTTTACACATACTAAAAACAAGGCTAGACAAACCATCATGTTCTGCAACACCTTTAGTCAAGACATTTCCTTAACCTTGGCATTGCAAGGATCTTTAGGCAGAGCTGGACAGAGCTTTGCAGAAGGAAAGGAGGGTGAGAGAGTAACAACACCCATACCTCCAATCTCCCTCTCCAGTGTGTAACCCCCCCACCACCACGCTCTCTCCCCCACCGCTGAGGTGCCCCACTTTTAGAATGCTATAATGATATAATACGGTATGAGTCAATCCCATCTGACGCATCGGTTTGATTTGCAATGCCCCTTTTCCAGCCACCCAGAACACAGGCAGCTAAAAATCTATTCAGCAATGTAGCTGTAATGACAAACTGTCCTCTCAGCAGCTCTGAACTTCTTTGACGTGTTTCCAAGGATAATTAGCAGAATGTGTAAAAGTTACCAGCAATTACTAGAAAACAATGTCCATGCTGAATTAAAGTGTCTTTAATTTTCATGTTTACAAATTCTTAGAGAGGGTTGTGCTTTTTTTTTTTTTTTTTTTTAAAGATATGCTACAACATCATGCATCTCAGACTTCCAAACTGCACCTCAAATAAGGTCAAATTCTAGTTGCAGTGCCTAGCTTCTATCTAATATCAAAGACCTTTATTCATACCATAAAGTGCAGTATTATGTTTTCCAGTTTGCAATTCTGAACTGAAATCAGGATTTTCTGGTACGAAATTGTCATCATTTTAACTTCTTTAACTAGACACATTTGCCTCCCCATATAGAATTCCAAAACACCATCAGTTGATCAAACTGCCTCATAAAGAGGTTCAGCCCACATTCTTGCCTGAAATGTATTTTATTATATTAAAAAACGACATTGATTTGAAAAGTAGGTCAGATTCTGAGTGCCTGTCATTTGCCTTCATTAGTTCATACAAACAAATGAACAAAATATAGATGAAACAAAACATAAACCAGTGTGATAAAAAATAAAATATATACTAATTTTCTTTACAAAAAAAATTGAGTAGGTTTTTTTTTGTTCAAACTGATATAAGGGTACTTAGAACGAGGCCATACAAGTTACAGCACACAGCAGACTAGGGCATGGATGTACAGAATATTATCTGCTTTGTGACATCTGCACACCCACGCACTTGAAAAATCTACTGGCCATTAAGGCAAAGTAGGTTATCCCTCAATGAAAGAAGAATAAAATGCCTTGAATGTTCCTTTGGATACTGAGAAGTGAGAGAATACAAATACGTATCTACAGCTAGCTAGCAGCATGCTATAAAATCATACCTATTTATCCAACAGCAGCACGTTCATGAAAGTTTCGGTGGTTATTGTTATAGTAATTTAATTGCTCTATAGCAATTAAACCAAATTTTTAGTTCTGAGTAAATATATTTATATGTATACTAATTTAGTTTAATTCAGTTCCACTTATTTGGAATGAAAATTTTAGGTTAATTGACTTATTAATTTGAATAACAATGTCTACACAGGGATTCGATGCCGTTTAACTTTAAGAAATGAAATTATAGTGATTTATTAAGTCTTCTGAAAGCCTGCATAGACAAATTCTTAGAAGAGAAGAGCTTGGATATGAAAAGGTGTGGGGGAATGCATTAAACAAGTGAACTGTGTATACTGCTTAATTAAAAGAAGGCTCTGCCCATTTCGTTCTGCTGTACAGAGCTTGGTGTCCATATAAAAATCAGATTTTTAATTATAGCTGGCATTTCAGAACCTCCTGCTGGTTGCTACTTTCTTGCTAAAAAAATGACCTCATTCCTAATCTTGTCACTGTGAGAACTCTGTTATGAGCTACAAACAAGCTTCTATTTGTTTTAGAAAGGCTAACTAGAACTCCATTGTTTAAAACATTTAAACAATATATTAAATCCTTAATAGAACCTGTTCCTGATTCAAAAACAACCTTCTGGATTGCTGTCTTGAGCTTAAGTGGAATGAAAAAGTCAGAATTCCTAGATTTTGTTCTGGCATTCCCTAGAGGATTTTGTATTTGAAATTCTCATCAATTTAAATGGAAGTACCACAGAAAGATGTGCTATAAGGCAAGTCCCACTTTTGCAGTTACGAGGACTCAGCTCTTCCAGCCTGAAACGATACCAGCTAAATGTTCTGGTTCTGTGTCCTTGAACGCATTCTACTGGCACTGTCTGTATCAACTACACCTCTCATAACACAGTGGAAATACAAAATACAACAACACGGAACACACAGATGAAGGGCAAAGGATAGAAACTATTATTATGTGATATCATTGAAAAAGTTCAAATACAGCTTTTGCCAAAAAAGTTTCTGTATCTCACCAGAATGAACTTCCACAAAAAATCCCACTTTTAAAAACGTTCATCCAAATTCTCCTCCAAAATGACAACAGAAAAAGCTCCCTGTAAACATCTACGGGCTGAATTTTTTAATTATTTTTAGTTTGGTAAAACTAATTATCTCCTATCACTAAAAGCAAAACCTAGTAGTAATTACTGCTCCAAAAGCCAAAGGTTATTTTGTTGTTCTTGTTTTGTTGTTGTTTGTGTTTATTTTTTAAACAGTACTCTTTAATGAGATTCTGTGCAAACTGGAATAAAAACTATTCAGAAAAGTTTCTTATTATCACTTCCCCTCATATAGTTTCTCCTTTTTCTTTACTGAGAAGAACTACTGAGTTGTTTCCACTAGGATGAGGACTTTATTATTTAAATCTTGCATTTCTTTGGCAGAACCCTGTTATCCTATATCCCAAAGGACCGTCCCTCACCTTTCTACCATGGACATACTCTCACTTGCTTCTCTTCACTTCCGCTTGTTTTTTTTCTTGGCTTCTGGGTTGCATCCTCTTCCATCAAACCTGTTTCTGCTTCACACACCAAGACATACGCTGCAACCAGTTGGTCAGAGCCCTCCCCGCACAAGCTTCCATAAGGCTTATCATGCACTGCCTTGCCTTCAGCAGCTACTATCTATCACTGGGCTGCTGGGCCACCAAGGAACTTTCCAATTGCTCCTTCCAGTCAAGACAGAGAGCATATATATATAGCCTTTAGGAGGTCTATCAGTAAAGATGAAAGATGCGCTTGATAGCAGAAATTAGTGTCCTCCAGTATTAACACAGAAAATACACAGAAAATAACATTTTAAAGGAAATATGAAGAACAATAAACATCAGGTGAATAAAGTTCAGTTATACATGGAAGCACATTACTTACGAGCCTTTCTGACATTGCTGACAGCTGCATGGGGTGGAAGTAGCTATCTAATTGTAACTACTTTAATTTTTGAAAAACAAAAAGCAAAAAAGTCTGAAGAACTGCAGTCCCAGTTGACAGTGCATGGAGTTCTTTTACTGCCCAGCGTGACTTGTCAATAACTGCATTCTACCTTATTTTTAATCTTACCCAGTAGGTTTGTGAGCCACAGGGCCAAATCCTCTTTCATCGGCAACAAGTTGGCCTCATGTCTACTGGCAAGCCACTGGCTATATTGATGCATATCAGAGAGGCCAGGCCCACGTGCCTTTGGACTCAGAGCCGTGCACATTTTTTATCCACTTGTTGTACCTGTTTTATTATCAAAAGAAAAAATATAGTTAACATACCAAACACAATTTTGCGGGTTCTCTTTTTAGAATTGTAATAGACAACGTTAATTATGATTTCAAGAAATCAGATGTCAGACAAACAGATGTGGATCTAGCACATAGATATAACATGGATGATTGAAATCTTGTTTTGTTAATGGATCATACTGCAAGTGATTAAATCATATAGATAAATGTCTGCTTCGTTTGTACTCACCAAGCTACACGTTGCCAACACACAACCAAATATTCTGCAAGGAATGATTAAAATCAAATCAAAATAAACATTTTACACATAGCTAGCAACTCACCACAGTGCCTTATCCAATATCCGTTCAAAATAAATGGATAGCTTCAGAGATTTTTGGATCAGGTCCAATAAAAACACATTAACAACTGAGTTATGCTACTGCAGCAAACTTGCTAATCATTAGCAAATACAGTCACCAAATGGAATCAGCCTATTCTACATCTTTAAAATAGGTAAAATAATTTAAAAAAAAACCCTAAAATACATTTACTGAGTAACATTAGTCCATAAGAAAACAGCACAAAGGCAAGGGCTGATTGCGCTGAAGTGCTGATTACCCACACTTCCCACTTTGACCTTTTTACAAATACTCCTCTGCTTCCACGATGACTGAGGGAAACGATAGTTTCAAGTAAGAAAATATGTCAATATGTCATGTATTAAATATTGGTTAAGGTGTTCTCACTTGTGCCACAGCCAGAGAAGTTGGGCCCACTGGGCCTATATCTCTGTTCCTGAAAGACTAATTCTGCCACCTGTGGCACAAGCATGCTGATAAAGAATGTTCTTTTTCTCTCTAAAAAGAGGTATCAGATCTGGACCCTAAGGTTTGTAGCAATGAGCTGAGATACTTTCTTATCTGGTAGGTTGCATCCTACTGGGAGCCCAGTCAGACCAACTAGCAATCACAAAGCCTTATGCAGGTGGCGTTAGAGAGGTATTATGATTGGGGGGTGGGGGGGAGGAGGAGGAGGTGATTTTAAAAGTCACTAAGGAATACTGCTTTGCCTATCATCCCCAGCTGATTGGCACTAACTGTGGTTACATGCATCAGCAGACTTCAGCTTAGGACACAAGGCAAACACTCTCGTTTCTTTCTGCCCCTCGCCTACCTTTCAAATTAGGTAATAGTGACTTTAAAAAACAAACATAAACAAAAAGAACAACTTGTTATAGTATGTCACTGTGGCCTGGTATAGCAAGAATACTACAAACAAAGTTGTTTGCCAAAAAATGTAAATGTTTATTGAATGTAAAAAGCAACTGCTTTCCCATAAAACTGTGCTGCAACCTGTATCTCCAAAATCGTGAAATGCTATTTGAAATATTTTAATGTTTACATTAAAATACTCAAGCATTTTGTAACCATACTCTGGGTAACTAAACTCCTTGTGAGAAAAAACATCTGCTTAAGCTGTTACTTAACCTCCATTGATGAATATAGTGTAGCACCTCCCTCCTTATTCCAAATCCTGAAGTTTTAATTGTCCTTGACATATTTAGACTCAGCTTTCACCTTGAATATATTTCTCACTGAAATCACACCACTTTTTCAGCTAAAAAAAAGAAAAAGGCAACAAGGAAAGACTTTATTCCCTTGTATAAAGATCCATTTCTGAATTATCTTTAGATTTTACATTTTTCTCACCAAAAAAAAAAAAAAAGGCATCAAAATTTATTTGGAAGCAAAGGAGTTTAAGATAAACCAAAATATGGGATGGAAATATAGCTCTGTTCTGGAAACAGACTTTGTAAAAACATCAGCATGGATTTATGGTTTCCTGGTTGATTACATCCAAGTCATACCTGCTCATTGTATTCAAGGCCAAAAAAAAAAAAAAGGCCCTTAGCTCTGCAAGTTCAAACTGGAACATCACTCAAAATGGGTTCCTTCTGACTCAGATGATACTAATAGTCAAGGAGTTATAATAACAGTATATTTAGAGTTGCCGTAAGTCATCCCAAATCATGCAATTTGGTTCTTCAAATCATTGACAGATTTTAGGTAAATGGAAATAGAGATGGATAATTGACTCATCACCTTGTCTTTGAAGAGTATATGGAAAAAAATCAGGTATAAATACCTCTGCCATACACCTTTTTTCCAAGAAAGAGCCTTAAAATAATGTTTTTGACCAATTTCAGCTCAGCTGATAGTGTGAGAGCCAGAGTTGAAAGTCATTTATTCTCCTGTATCACCTCTGAAATGTTATTGGTAAAAAGTAGTTAAAAAATTATCTCGTTCCTAAATGTTGTTTTACAACAGACAAGTAAAGCAAAGTAAAAATATAGCATTTTTTCACAGTGATTTTTCAATATATGAACAACTATGCAACTGAATCTTTAGGAAAGAAAATCCTACAGTTCATTTCTTTTGATACACACATTGGAAAAATATACCTAAAAAAAAACACCTTTGTTCCAAAATAAACCATTAGATATGTCACTTTTTCTTTGGAATACATTTGTTTTTGAGGTCCATACCTGCTCTGAGCAAGGGGTTGGACTAGGTGACCCCTAGAGGTCCCTTTCAACTTAAATTGTTGTATAATTCTATACTTCAAGGACGCACACCACCATATCCTAAATGAGGCCCTAAGCAGGCTCTGTCCTCCAAGGATCACATCACATAACACACACTGAGTTGTGTTACCAGGAAAACTATGCCCCTTCCCTCTCCTCACCTGTCTCTTGACATCCAAGACCACGTATATGATGAAGTGCTCTATGAAAGACAGGAGCTAATTAATAGTAAACAATAACAGGGTTGATAGACAGCCAGATATGATATAATGTACTGCTACTGGGAACTAGTGATGGGGCTGGAGTGGTTCTAAGGTTTGAAAGTTGCATTCTTTACTACTAGAGAAAAGAGGGGGAAGGCTTCTGGAGCAGCTAAAGGAAGGCCCTTTTGGGTTGCTCCACTACTCTCCGAAACGAGCACTGCAGTCTGTTCATGCTTCAGGCTGACCTCCGTGGAAACACAGAGCAGCGAATTCAGTTATTTGTGATGTTACTTCAATTCAGCTCAAGCTCAGGGCTGTCTTTACATTTACTTCATATTGACCTACCACTTGTTTTTTGAAATTAAGCAACCAGGCTGTGGAAGGTCTCAAGGAACTTCTGAGCCTTGTAGTTGCAGAAAGAAAGGTGGGAAAATAAAGAGCTCTGATTTTCGAGGATGTGTGGGTACTTCAGTTTGGTAGTAACTTTAGTAAGAAGAAGAGAGAAGAGTCAGAGATAAGGAAGATATTCTGAGTTTAAGGTAGTTTTAACAGGACATAGGCTCTCAGACTGGGAGAAGTAGGAAAGATAAGGTGAGGCAAAGAGAATTCTGAGGTAACAGAATTGCTAGAAGCTGAGAAGGATTCATCTCTATACTGGGACTGGGTCTGCTTGAAATGGTAGCCCTGAATTAACCCATACTATTTCAGTAATTATTGTTAAATTGTGGAGCACGCATGCAAAATGAGGATTGCAGAAGTTAATAGTGATGAAGAGTTTCCACTGAGAACACTGAAGAATCACAGATGAATAACAAGATCCAACCTTAATTTCACTTCTGAAAGAAGGAGAGTTTCATCTTTTTCCTCTCTCACTTCTCTGACAACCTGCCCTGCACTTTAGCAGAATACTTTGTTAGACCCAAAGCAACAACATTCTTCCCTTGGATTTAAACAACAACCACCAGCCTTCAAGGAATGGAGCACAATTTGTTACGGCTAGCTCCCTTTACCAATTCTACAAGCGATAGGGTGGGCCAGCTATCAAATTGTATCAAAGCAATCAAACTCTTCATTTGCACTCTTTGTGCAAACACTGACCGATAGTAAACTTCTAAGCTTGACTTAAGGCTCCATAATACTTGAATGATGAAGTACCCAAGCTTCATTAAAACGTTCATCTACTTCATCAGTCAAGTTCTACTAGCCCATACATTAACTATTAAAACATCATCAAATACCAGCTGGGATCTTCAAAGAAGCTTAACAGAAGGAATTAAGCAAAGGTAGCTGCAGTTGGATCGCCGTCTCCTCCAAGGCCTCTTTGAGGATCCCATCTGTAATCAAGGCCACATTTTTGATTCCTCACTCAAACACCACCATCTCACCTTTTTGACATCTCACCCTTTAACATATTTCTGAGCTAGAGAAAAGTTTATTGACAATTTGACAACGAGGAACGTGATTAAAGAAACCAGCTAGCTTGCCACAGAGGTAGCACTCCAGGATTCTACATGGAGGAGGCTCCAACAACTCTTTCATCCTTTCTTTTTGGCAGAAATAAAGTATGCAAAGTATGAACAAAGTAGCCTAAAAATACTGGTTTTCCTAATCTCACTGCTTTCTAATAGTAACATCAAATCATTATATATACACATCTCTTTAAACCTAGCCAGCACAAACATGTCAAATATCCCATGCTACAGAATGTCACACTTTTCTGTAAACTATTGAGGCTGACATCAGATATGCATACATATTTTTAAAACTTACCTCTAAATACT